ATTGCTGTACAAGATGCAGACTTGAGATCCTATTTACAAACACCATTAGAACAAATCATTATTCACTAAGAGAATGTAACTATATATCTATCCTAACCACTTTGAATACACAGATACAAAATGGACATTCATCTGTATACCCTTTTTTTGTTAAGTTCCGTTATTTGAATATTATAGGTGTATAAACTCAGCAAAATATTCTAAAGGAGTCCAGTAGCCCATAATAGCATTGGGTCTTCTGTTTAACTGGCAATGTCAGAAATTGTTGACCTGAGTCCCCCACAGCTCAACATAACAGCATGGCTTTACTTCCTTTATTTCGTCTTCATACTTTTCTACTGGATGGTTAAGACCAAGGTAAAGCAGGACCTATGCAACAAGAGTTGTAGCTTTTGGGTCTGAGAAGTTCAGTGAAATCCCTTCAGGATTTATCCTGAGATCCTGTACCTCAGATTGTATAACCTTTGTCAGTGTCAACCATGTGAATGAGTCATGGCCATTGCTTGGCCAATGTGCTCTGTGTGAAAGCCTGAGAAATGTTTTCTCTCCATGTGACTCTCCTTAGGCACACTCTACGTCATCGATCACTTTCCTCTTTGGCCCCATAATCTCCTTGATCAGAAAATTTGGGACACTACGGAGTTACATGACGTTACAGTACAAGTTCTCATATGTTGTGAGTCTTAATTGACCTTAGAAGGTTATGGCCAAAATGTTGGCTTTCCTTGCAGCCCTTCTTTTTCTCTAATTTTGGTCTGCAAACTTAGGTTGTTAACCATCCAGAAGACAATCTTATTGTTATTATCAAACAAGTTAGGCTGTTAAGCTTAACCTCACTACCTATCTGCATATCAAACATCTTAGGCATAATATGGAACAGGTATTTTTCATCAAGTATTGATATGTTGAACTTTATGTCCCTACAGAGTATGATAAAAAACATTTAAAAATTAGAATATATTTTAAAAATAGGCATAAAGAATTATATACTTCTCATGTTTGCACATAAGTCCAAAAATCTCACCATATACAACCTTGAAGCAGGACAGTCCCACAATATTCCTTTTCCTGTCTCTTACTTTCATTCACCACCCCCTTCTTCTTGAACATCCACGTACCTGAGAGACATCATAGCAGCAACTGTTAGTACCCATCTTAATCTAATAAAACCTCCTTTTCTGTTGTTGATTCCTGCAAAGGCCTCATTCCAAGATAAAAAAATCACAGCTTGAAATTCTAAGTGGACATGCATTTTCCTGGGGGACATCGCTCACCCCATACAGTAGCTATATCTTACTTAATCTTTACAGCAAGCAAAACTGGACTCACGGTTGTACTGAAGGTGCACTGCTTTTGCATTATGTCAAGCCCCAAAAGTGGAACCACTTGTTGGGGCTGTGCTCCCACAAGGCCTAGAAGGGGCACAGGTGCTCGTTTAGATAAAAGCAGACTGAGCCTTGGCCGAGAAGCACTTCTTAGAAACAGCTGTGTTGAGGGCTCCTTGGCGGCTGGCAGCCTGTGTCCCCTGTCACATGTGTGTCCCCTGTAGTAGGTGGAGCTTCTCAGCACCCTCCTTAAGGACTGTGCGGCTTAGCAAGTTCCAGCCCTCTCTGGCCTCAGTTCCTGCCCCGGGAAGTGGAGGTCACACCACACTCTGTCTAGTGCTAAGTGCAGTGGGTGTCCCAAGGAGCCTTTGACCAAGCCCAGTTTCAGTGCAGAGCCACAAACAAACAAACTTTGAGCCACGACTCTTGCCATACTCTGACCTTTGTTGCTTATCCTTACTCCTCACGTCCCCCAGGGCTGGAGGGAAGGATCGGGGCTGGAGGAGGCTTTGCAGTGGGGCGGGGACTGGGTAACAGAGGCTGGGCCCAGCACTAAATATGAAGGTAGCACTTGAGTGGCTGCACTGCCAGTGTCCCGAGCGTGAGCTCCCATGAGCCAGTGGCACCCATGTGTATCTCTGTCCTGGGCCTCCCCCTGATGACTAGGGTGACTCAGGAGCCTGGCCCCTTGCTTGGATTCCCGAGGCCGTGAAGCCCAGCAGGGTCAGCTGTGAAGCATCTACTCCCAGCTGCTGTGTGCGGGAGGGGGCTCTGGGCCCCTCCCTCCGGCCCCGCCCTGCGCTGGCTTCTAACCACGTGGTTTCCCTCTGGACTGAGACTTCTTTGTGCCCTAAACAAATGCTACATCATGCCCCCACTTCGCTCCCCTGGACTGGGGAGTCACTCAGGCTTCCGGGATCAGGCTGCTCTGGGAAGAGTTCAGGCCAGAGGGAGAACTCAAGGCCTCTGGGATCTGTCCCAGCACTGGGGTCTGGTATGGCTGGAGGGAGGGAGAATGACCAGGGAAGTGGAGGCAGGGAGGAAGGGGGCCCGTATGTGGATGTGGAACCTATCCCAAGAGGGGCGTGAGGATGCACCGATCCTGTGCGCCGGCTACTTTAGGAGCACAGCACTCTTGGTCATTTCCTCTTACGATCTCAGGGCAGCCTGGGAGCTGCAGTTAGCCTTGGGGTCCAGCACTGAGGATGGGACCCCTGCCAAAGGAAAGGCAGCTAGGTTCAAAATGCTGCTTCCACTGATGTGTGTTGCTTTGCTACCATGATACAGCCAGGAAGTAATCAGTGTGAACCTCTGTCCTCCCAAGGCCTGGGGTTTCCTAGCTTGGTCCCCAAGCCTAGAACCCGGGGGGGCCCTCATTCCCACAGCCTCGTCCCTGTCACCACAACCACAGTGAATGCATGCTCAGTGCCTCCTGTGTACCAGGCACTGTGCTAACACTTCCTACAATCATTTTGTTAATGATTGTGGCATAGATGACATTTTACAGGTGAGGCAGGGTGAAGGGGAGAGTGGAGGCCACAAGCAGGGGCCAGGGCAGAGCTGGGAGGGAAGCTCATCCCCCGCCCCCGCCCCCTCATAGTGCCTGGCTCTGTTCTTCGTGTTCTCGGCCTCCTGTGTGTGTGCTTTTGTCCTTACAGAGACTTTGTTAGTTCCCTTCTCATTGCTGGGAGGACAAAATACGAAATACCCACAAGGTAAAGGAGGAAATGTTTATTGTAGCTCACGGGGTGTAGGGGTTTTAGTCTGTGGTCAGTTGGCCCCAAGGCAGGGCAGCGTGGTGGAGGAGAAACAGCCCCCAGCAGGGAAGGCAGGAGCGGTGAGTCTCTTTTTAAATTCTCTTTTGATGCCTATTGGTTAGTGCCATCCACACCCAACTGGGCCCTTCCACTGTGCACACCCAGAGCTATGCCACAGCAATCAGTGGACAAATCCAGTATCACACAAACATGATCCAGCCACGTCCCTAAAGCCCCACCTATGTACGGGTGCCTGGGGGCTTGGGGGTAGGGGGCATCTAGAAAGAGCCATAACAGAGACAAGGATTTGGAGGTGGTCATGGCTGACAGCAGACGGACCAGGAGGAGATGATGGCTGTGTCCAGAAAGAAGTGGACAGATCCTTGGAGATAGACTCTGAGGGGATGCAGCTCCCCTGGGGTGGGGGGAAGCGCGCGGAGCAGTGAGCCCAGGGTTCTGGTATGTGTTCGCGCATGCGTGGATCACAGTGCTATTTATGGAGACGCAGAGTATAAGTTTTGTTTAATGAATCAGGGAATGAGTTGTTAAACAAATCGTGACTAACAACATGGTCTCCAAATGGAATGGACAGAAAGTTCTGCTTTGCTGAGTGTGAGCAAGCAGTGGCTTTTTACATTTTTTTTTATTTTATTTTAGGAGAGAGTCTACAGGGTCTGCAGGGTCTCACTGCGGAGATTGGACTCATACCGATCCTCCTGTTTACAGCCTTCCAAGTGCTGGGATTACAGGTGTGCACCACCACGCCCAGTCTCAGCTGGCCCGGGAGTGGGACTCCTGGCCCCTGCATCTGCCTAAGCAGGTGCTTTAATCAGCTGAGCTATTTGGCCAGCCCTTCATCAGTGGCTTTTTGTCTGGACGCTGTCAAGGACGCTTCCGATTTGAAGGGAAGATGAAATAGTCAGTGCTCAATAACTTTATGTTGTGTGCAATGGTGACAGCGCCACCGCCGTCCTGGTGATTCCAGGACCTCACGAGGACTCCGAGGCACCTGATGAACATTTCGAACGAGCGTTCCACGGGGGCGTGCAGGTGGAGCAACGTGTGACATTTCCCCACAATTTTCTTACATTACTTACTGAGTAGATTTTAGAACATATGTGGAGTATCTAAGTGTACAGACTGGGTCTTTTCCCCCCACTTGTAAGGACCCAAACTTGCAGAAGTTTGGGCGCTCTTGACCTGGATGACAGAAGATGACAAGCAGGTAAATGAATCCCAGCTACCCCCCCAGGCTGCCAGTCACCCAGGGCACTGTCCCTGACACAGGGATCCTGGGAATTGCGGCTAAGGAGTCACACAAAGATGTCCATCCACCTACTGAGCTGCAAGCAGTCGGGGTCGGTGCACCCCGCCTGGTCCCCCCCACCGCCTGCGGGCTGCTCCCTCTTCATGAGGCCACAGCTCTTCAGTCGCTCAAGGACACGGATCTTGGTCAGGAGGTCCTCACACAGCACTGGCCCCCAACCCGCAGACCACAGGCAGCCCCCAGGTGGTCACGAGGGACCAGTGCAGGACTCTGACTTCGTGCCCTGGGCGGTGGCGGGTGCGCGCGCCAAGCACAGCCCCTTCGCTCTGTGCACAGGTTGGGTGGGCATTGTGGGCTCATGCCACGAGGGGTCTTCTTCACATGTGGCTGATTTTCTTTCTTCAGCCACAAGAGTGTATGCTTGTGTGTTTATTGGGGCAGAGAAAGGGTGGGTGACAAAGAAAGGAACTGGGGGGGGGGATGGCTTGTAATCATATTCAGGGTGAGACTAGTTTGGCTTTAGGGACTGTTTGTCATACCAGGCCTGGGTCCTGCCTCTCGGGATGGAGCTGGCTACTGAGTACTCATTTCCGGTCTGAGCTCACTCACCCTGAGCTGCCTGGGTCCTAGGCGTGAACACATGCTCCTTCCCATCCTCCCCTGGGGCTTGGCACTGTGCTGGCTGCAGGAGGCAGCTTATTAAGATGAGCAGGAAAACAAATGAATTCCCCAAGGAGACTTGGGCTGTCCCCTCTGCCTCTGACCAATACTGCTACACCCTCTTCCCCTGACCCTGACACCCTCCCCAAGCCCCATTGGGAAGCAGACACCCCAGGAAGCTGCTGGGGGAATTGCTTTCCCATCTCTGTTTAGCCGCAGGCCCTTCATCCCGTGGGTGCCTTGTCCCCAAGGGCTCCTCAGAGTCATGCGTGCCCTGACCTGACCAGTGCAGCTGGGCCCAGGCCGCACCCTCACCGATGAGGGGCTGAGCCTGCTGTGGGGAAGGTGGTCCTGCAGGTAATGCTTTGGGGAGTGCAAAGGGCTGCTGCCCTCCGGCGCCCTCCACTGTTTCCTACTCAAGCTCCTCTCTGGGTCACTCTGGGCCACAGTCAAATAAACTGGGGGAAGACAGGAATGAGGTGAAGCAGGCCAGGGTCTGAGTGCAGTGGTCCCCTCAGAAATCTCTCCCAGCCTCATTGCAATCCTAATGCGGGTGGGCTTCCCTGAAGCGTGTGTGTGTGTTGCATGCACATGCATGTGTATGTGTGTGTGTAACATGTGTGGGGAGCAGCGGCAGAGGGCCGAGCGGGATGGATTGCCTGCTCGTTGCGCTATCTTCCACCTTATGCACCATGCTGGTTTTCATCCACAGAGCCATTTCCGAGCCTCAGTGTCTTTTCCTGATAATAATTTATTCCCAGTCCATGCGCATCAGGACGCCTCACACTTACATAGCACCTTTCATTTTCCAAAGTCCTTCTATGTCCACTGCCACTTTAACCCCTCCCACAACCTCGTGGTACAGAGGGGACACTGAGGCAGAGGCAAGGGTGTTGTGCACCTAGTTCTGGCTGAGTGGGGACCCGGGCTCTGTCCACGGGGCCTACTTTGAGCACTGTGGGACAGATGGCCTGCTGTGACTGCCTCCCCTCAGGCCTTCTCAGCCCATGGAATTTCTGAGCTCCTTCGAGGTGGAGACTGTGCCGTCTCTCCTCAGTGTCCAGGCTGCATATACTGCAAGCGCAGGGAGTGCCTTGGGGCTCTTTTTGGCTCAGAGAAGAGGGCCATGGAATCTTGGTCTGATGCTCCTCAGTGTTAACTGAGAAATCATCCTCCAGAGTCCGAGCGGCAAGGGTAAACGGACACCAGGACAGAGATTCCACCCAGTGCCGCACAGGCCCTTGGTCAGAGCACCAAAACTGGGCTGGGTTCTCCTGGAGCACTAAGCAGTGAGATCAGGGCAGGGAGGGACACCATGTCCTCAGTCATGCCCCTCCCTGCCCCAGGTCCCCTCCACTTTTAGGAAGGAGCCAGCTGGCCCAGGAGTGGCTGCAGTAAGACTAACATGGTGGCTTGAGGTTGCCTTAGACTGGGCTGTGCCTACCCCACTGTCACAGACCTGCTCCTGTGACGGGGCAGGCAGGAATCCCCCACTCGGGTTCTCCTGCAGGAGCAGGCCCATTGCCCAAGGTCACCCAGCATGTCTCCTGCTCCGTGCTGGGCCCATGCCGCAGAGCAACTGTGCTCTGGTCCGCAGGCATTCACAGCACCCCTGGTGGCGCCCCCTCACTGCCACTCCTTGCCCAGTCCTGCAGCTTGTGGATCTGCCGGTCCATTGAGATGGACGTGCGCAGCGTTCCCATGGAGTTCTCCATCTGGACGGGCTCAGACACGCAGCCCCCTTTCCCGCACACCCTGTGGTACACCTCCAGAGACTTCTTCCGGAAGCGCTTGCCCACAATCACGTACACCAGCGGGTTGAGGCAGCTGTTGCTATAGGCCAGGTAGGAGCTGATCTGCGTGATGATGTCAATGACATGCTCGTCCCAGCAGCTGGCGAGGACGCCGAGGCGCTGCAGTGTGTCCAGGAAGGTGCTGATCTGGAAGGGCAGCCAGCATACCACGAACAGCAGCAGCACAGCCAGCACCAGCACGGTGGCCCTGCGCTCTGTCTGGATCTCCTTGAACTTCTGCATCTCGTTGTTGCGTAGCACCTGCATGATCTGGACCGTGCAGAAGGTGATGATGCTGAGCGGGAGCAGGAAGCCCACCAGGTTCAGGAGGACATTGGTGAGCACCTCCCAGGTAGGGGACGGGTAGTGGATGATGCACGCGGTGACGTTGTGGCCCTCATCACGGTACTCCCTCATGGTCCGGAACACCAGCATGGGTGAGCTCAGGAGCAGCGTGCAGCCCCAGATGACCAGGCTGTTGAGCTTGGCCCAGCGCACGCCGCGCATGCGGCCCATGGACATGGTCTTCACCAGGGCCAGGTAACGGTCGATGCTCACCAGCATCAGGAAGCAGATGCTGCTGTACAGGTTCATGTAGATCATGGTGTTCACCACACGGCACAGGACCTCCCCGAAGAGCCAGTCAAAGTTGTTGGCGATGGTGATGGCCCAGAAGGGCAGCCCACAGGCCAGGAGAAGGTCAGCTGCCGCCAGGTTGCCCAGGTAGATCTCTGCCACTGTGCAGCTGCTCTTATGCAGACAGAAGACACTGAGGACAAAGATGTTCTCGAGCAGGGCCAGAACGAACAGGACCCACAAGAAGGGGGCCTGGATGGTGTTGAGCCAGCTCCACCACTCGGTGTCAGGGCAGCTGCTGTCCTGCGCAAAGGTTCCGTTCAAAGCTGATGCTTGCGAGGTGACGTTGAACATTGCGGCGCTGCAAGAAAGTGGAAAAGAGGCTGTTACTCCTCGAAGCCATGGTTGGAAGGAGAAGCAACAATGCAGAAGCTGCGGGGCTGGGGCAGCCCAGCCGCTCAGCACTTGGCTCCCCAGGATGAGCGCTGTGGGGCTCTTGACTCCTGGATCTCAGGGAGTCCCTCACCACAGGGTTAGACGGAGACCTCACCACTTCATCCATAAGCTCCCAGGATGCTTCAGGGCCAGCATCCGTCAGCAGCACTGACAACGGCAGTCTGTGGCCAGAAAGTTTCCCTTCCCTGAGGAGAGGGTGCACAGCGCATCCCAGCCCCGTTGAGATGCCACTCCCTGAGACATGAATGGGAGGAGAAAACCCACAAGCACGCTGAGCGGGGAGACTCCAGCCTGGGCCTAGAGGGAGTCAGCCCGCCCGCCCACGGCTCCTGGCGGGGGCAGCATTGCATTTCTGCACCCTCACCAGAGAGGATGCACGGTGGAGAGGGAGATGGGGCCTGGGAGCCAGTGGGCCTTCTGGGGTTCAAGTCCTGGCTCTTTATCCAGTAGCTGGGTTAAGTTCTCTGAACCTCATGGGACTAACCAGGAAAGTGAGAATAACAATCTCTTTAGGATTATGGTGGGGGTGCAAGGCGGTGTGCAGGAAGCCCCAAACTGTGTGTGGTTCAGGAGACATGAAAATTCATTTACTTTTGTTAGAACAGCCTGGCTCTTTTGTTGGAGCCAGGTTCTGACTCCGGCATCTGTGGCCTCATCACTAACCACTGCTCCTCCTTCACTCTCAGGTGAGACTCAGAACAGGGCATTAGGCCACCTTCTAGACGTCTTCACTAACTGGTCTCTACCTGCAGCAAAGAGGCACAGTGCTTGGCAGATGTGGGCTTCCATCCCAGCTGTGTGGTCTCGGGCAAATGTCTTGGCCTCTCTGGGTCTGCATTTTGCTCTGCAGTCACCTATTACTCTTCCTGACCCTCCTTGCCTGGCAGTGGCAAGGTTCAAATCAAAGTGCAGCTGTGAAGATGCAAAGAAAAGCCAAGGCACGCGCCCAGGGGGAGGCCCACCTGGCCTATGTGCTGTGCCCTTGAGTTTGGGGCAGGGGGTGCGGCTGGAAGGAGGCTCCTCTGGAAGGCTTGTGGTTGGGGACTTCTGGCCCAGGAGCTGAGCAACACAGTACATGGTGGCCCTGCTCGTTGCCTCTGGAGTCCCCAGGACAAGCCCGTCATCAGGTCAGGCCTGTGCCTCACTTACTGCTCAGAGCCTGCAGAGGTTTTGGGAGCTCTGCCTGGGGATGGGATGTGGACAGGAGCCTCACATCCCTGCCCTGCCCCACAGCGTGGCCCAGTGTGTGATGAGCCCAGTGTGCAGCAGGTGCAGAACCAGGTGGGGCAGGCAGATGAGGCCATGGATGATGGGGAGATGGGTCTTCAAGGACGAGAAACACTGGGACAAGGGATGGAAGAAGAGGGCAGAGCAGGAGTGCGAGGCTGTGGCTGGCAGGTTCTGGCAGGCAGCACCAGAGGGCAGGCGGGAGGTGCAAGTGGCGAGCATGGAAAAAGGAACAAGAGTGGGCTGCATGGGGAGCCTAAGAAGTAAGGCTGTGCCCCTGAGATTCTAGGGAAGGGAAGGGGACAGGAAAGATGCTGCGGAAAGATGCCAGCGGCTTTGCGATGGCTTGAATGTGCTCCACAACCCTTTGATACTCCTCCCCTCCAGAGGAGGAGCCTAATTCTTCTTCCTTTGAGTGTGAGCTGGGCTTAGTGACTCGCTCCTGACCAGCGGCAGCAGGGACAGTGTGCGACTTCTAAGGCTGCAGCACAAAGTATGCTTCAACTTCCTTCTTGGCCTCTTAGACTAGACCCTTGAGAAAGCCAGCCACCATGTTTGGAGGACCCACAAACAGCCACACGGACAGGAAGCAACTTGTGGTCTTGGGCGTGGAGCCTGTGGTCCCAGAGAAGCCACCTGCTTTGCCTTTTCCAGCTGAGGCCCAGACGAGAGACACAGACACCAGCTGCCTCCACTCCCAGCAGCTCGCTAGGGATGGAAGTATTGTACCAGATGCTACTTGGTGATTTCTCAGGCAGTGGACCAAGAGCCTGGCCCAGAGCTGGCTCTGGGAAGCCATGGAGTGGTTACTGGCTGCCTTGTGAGTCCCAAGTTAGGAGCTCCTGGGTCAGGAGCCAAGAGGGCTGTGTGGCTGGCGCACCTGCTGCAGGATCGAGCCCATGCTGGGCCTTCCCCGTGTCTTCCTGACCCCGCTCCTTCTTGCCTGGCTTCCCTCTCCTCTGCCAACATCTGGATCAGTCCCCTGCCCTGTTCTCTCTTTAGTGGGCTCTGGTTCCGCCCACTGTCAGCCCCGTGCGGAGGCACCTGGCTCTGCAGCAACCTGCACATGGGTCTGAGCCGTGGGTGCTGACTCCAAGGTAGAACGCTTACCTTTGTTTCAGCTGCCCCACAACAATAGGGAATGTACAATCTGGGTCTCACAGGGCCACCCACCCAGAGGGCTGGAACATTTTAGAGATTTTATCTCTGGGCTCAACATTCTCTGCTTCTTTACTTCTCACCCAGGGCCTGATGCCCTGCAATCTAGGGAGTTCTCCAGCTCATCTAATGAGCAACCCAGAGGCTCCCTTTCACTGACTCACCCGAGGGAGGCTGCGGTGGGTGTAGGCTCCTCATGCAGAGACAGGAGTATCAGCCTCTTCCAGCTTGAGTGCATCTGGACTCAGGAAGGGCTGCGAGCGAGGCTTTTCTGGTGCTGAAGAAGGTGGAGAGGTTAGACCACGTTGGGGACAGTGACACACAGCATCCACCTCTGGGGCAGGAGAAGGAGCCCGCAGAACCCTGCACTCCCCACTCTGCCTGCTGTCCTCCTGGTGGGCACCAGGTGCAGCTGCAGAGCCACAAGGTCACCCCCACCCTCAGAAGGACCTCACAGTCTGGGGTTTCCAGCCTCCAGGTCTGTGAGCACAAATGAATCTCTTTCCTTATATATGGCTCAATCTCCAGGTCCTGTTACAGCTACAGAAATGCAGAGATGCACCTTCTCACGAGGAAGGCCTCAGCGCTGGAGTTGGTTCCCTACACCCAGCCAGATGATGGTTGATATTTTTACAGTTCTTACTTTTAAAATGACAAACAATGGTCCTTTGTCCATTTCAGTGTAGTGACATGAAGTTATAATTCAAAAATAAAAGGGCCAGCCAAAAAGTTCAGCGGATTAAAGTGCCTACAAGCAGGCGCAGGGGCCGGCGGTTCAACCCCTGGCCCTGCTATGCCAGCCCTGCCCCCAGGGCATGCTGGGACTGTGATTGAGACTGAGTGTGGTGGTGTGTACCTGTAATCCCGGCACCTGGGAGGCTGTAAACAGGCGGATCACTACCAGCCCGATCTAGTAGTGAGATCCTGAACACCTTTCCCTAAAATACAAAAAATAAATAAGTAAATAAATACTTTAAAAATAAGTTGATGCTAAGAAGTAATTATACAGATGCTATAGCTGAGGCCAAAACTGTGAATGTGAAGGCCAGATGTAGGGAGCGCAGCCCGGAAGCATTGGCTGGGGACTCGAGGGGTGCTGGGGTCAGTCTGTCTATGGCTGGATCAGGGTCTGATCCAGGTCAGTGAGGCTCGGAAGCCCGGCCAGGGCTGGGCCCAGGCAGGCTCCGCGCCAGCTGCCAGCTGCCTTGAGGCCCGCCTGCACTCCGCCTTTCCCACTCTTGGGAGTTCCCCGCAGGTTAACACTACGGAGCCTGGGAGGGTAGAGTGGGAGGGCACACAGGCAGCGTTTTGTAGAACCCCTTGGTCACAGAAGTGGCCCTGGGGGCCCGGAGCTGGCAAACATCCTTCCAGGACGCATTTGGTTAGTGGCTGAGCTTCACCTGGAACCCAGGCCCGGAGCTGGCAAACATCCTTCCAGGACGCATTTGGTTAGTGGCTGAGCTTCACCTGGAACCCAGGCCCGGAGCTGGCAAACATCCTTCCAGGACGCATTTGGTTAGTGGCTGAGCTTCACCTGGAACCCAGGCCCAGAATCCCGACTCCCAGGTGCCCTACTGCTTTGTGTCACCCCACATCTGCCCCTCCCCAGGGCTGGGGGCCGAGCCATGTGTCAGTATTGTCTGGTGTCAACCATGAGCCCTGTGTCCCAGCCCAATGCAGAGGTGACTCAAGGTACACAGGCACTCTGAGAGCAGATGCCTTTCCCTGAAAATAAAGACCCCTGCTTCCCAAGTCTGAATGTCTCAGCTTCCTACCGTGTCCTGAGCACTTAAGTCCCTTTTAAGAGGAGGAAATAGAAATCCTCACCAGAGAGCAAAACCCAGAGCCCTGTGGGATGGGGCAGAAGACCTCCAAGCCTCCTCCAAGGCCTCCTCCCTGGGGGCCCCACAGGCCAGGAAGGGAGCACAGGTAGGTGTGCCTGGAAAGGCTGTTTCTCTGCACGTGTGCAGTCCCCCAAAGGTCTCTATGCCCCAGTAAGTGACCTTGGCCCTGCAGGGTGGGACAGCAGTAGAGGGCTGCTGGCCAGGGGCTTCTACCATCAGTAAGAGCATCCCACCCAGCCCAGTTTACAGGCATAGGAGAGAGGATGACAGTAAGCCGAGAAGCTCAGCCAACCACAGGAAAACAAGAATGCTTAGGATGATGAAGCAGCTTGGGCCCAGCTGAACAGGCAAGTGAGACAAGCCGCAGAGTTGGGGGCAGGCAGAGGAGGCTGAGTCTTGTCTCTTTCTCCACATGGTAGTATCTGGGATCTAAAGGCTCCTGTAACATGCTCTCAGTTTTGAAAGGAGTTTGGCCCCTGCACTTTCTGGAAGTGACCTTCTTGCCTCATCCATCCATCCATCCATCCATCCATCCATCCATCCATCCATCCATCCATCCATCCATCTGTCCATTTACCCGTCCATCCGTCCATCCACATTCATTCAAACAGACTTCCATTTCTGGTGTATTTGTCCTGCTCAATGTGAAGTGCGGCACAGATGGCTTCACAGGCAGGACAAAAAGAATCAGGATGTCAAGCACTCTCTCAGTGCCATCCTTCAAGAACCCTCTCAAATGTCACCTTCACTGAAAAGCCTTCCTCCATCCTCTCAGCCAGCACAAGCCCTTCCTTCTGGGAATCTACAGAAAAGAGGTGGGAGGAGCAACGCCTGGGGCGAGTCCTGGGAGCCAGGTGTGCCCTGGGTGAGCGGCGGGCATCTCTAGGCTACCAGTTCTTCACTGGAAGGATGAAGGGCTGAAACAGAAGGTTCTGGAGATCTTTGTACACCCCACCCTAAAGAGGGGTGAACCGTAAGCTCCTGGGCCTGAGAAGCATGCAGAGGCAAGCAGATCGGCCCGCTGGGATTTCCAAGACTTGCCTCCTACCTGACTTCCACAGGCTTTCCTGGGAAGGGACAGCAGGGGTCAGTCCAAACCCACTCCTCCTCACAGGCATGGCATGGAAGGGACTGTACCCTGCCTCCTGCCCAGCTCCCTGCAGCCTCAGAGCTGCCCATGGCCCTGCCTGAGCGGAAGGCCCTCTGGCCATGTGACTTCTATCATCCACCCAGACTCTGTCTTCTGTCAGTGTTAGTTCTTTTATTGAAAGGAGTGGGAAGGAGTGGCTTCCAGCTGATCTGCAGGGCAGCAGTGGGCCTGGCATCTCTCAGGCCTGGACATGCAGAGAAAGCCAGGAAAGGCTGGGCCTGAACACGGGTGTGGGCCTCAGGAGCAGACAGATGTGGGGTTGATTTTGACTTTGCTTCTGCTAGCTGGTGACCTGGGTGGGTGACAGCCTCTCTATGAACTGAGACATCTGCTGCACCGCCTCTGTTTACTGTGAGCACAGTGGTCAGTAGAGCCAGCACCTTCCATCAGGGCTCTCCAGGTGGTGGGTGGGATGCCCCACTGTAGGGACATGGGGCACCTCCCTGGGGGCGGTGGCCACACATCTGCTGGCCCTCTGCCACTGCTGTGTAAGGATCCACACTAGCCTCTCCACCGAGACGTGCAGAGGTAACCACAGAGCCTCACTGCTGGGGGTGTGCCTGGCAGCCCTGTGCCGGCCGAGTGGGCTCCGGTGGCCTCAGGCTGGGGGCAAAGGCAGCACCCCTGAAAGAAGTGGAGTGGCCTTGCCAGTTCCCACGCTGCTGGCTCGGGACCCACCTGGCTCTCACGCAGGCGGGCAGCCTTTCCGACTCGTGCATCTGTCAGCTCCAGTGTAACCGTGGAGCATCACCTCCTCGGGAGGCCCCCTGGTTCATCGAGGTGTCCCAGCCACAAACCTCCCATTATAGCCCCAGCACACTTCGGCTCAACCATGCTCTCTTTCCCATCTCTCTCCCTGCAGCCTGGTTGTGCTGGGATGGCCCGAAAGGGCTCTGTCTTTCCTTCCACTGTCCTCACTCCCTAGACCTGGCCTGGCCCCCACTAGGGCAGTATTTGTCCAAAGCACAGTTCATAATGAAGACGACATTGACAGCGAATGCGTCTGATGCCTGTCAAGGGCCCGTGTTTTTCTGAGCAAGCTACGGGCGTTGTTAACCCATGGAATCTGCACAACCACCTGAGACAGCGTCGATGTGACCTCTTAGGAAGGAGGAAACCGGGCCTCTGCAGAGCCGGCTGGGTCCCTGCCGGAGCCGCCCAGGCCTGTGCACGAGCTGCTTTCCTGCCCCTGGAAGACGGCAGCGGGCACTGTCCTCCTTCAACAGCTGAGCAAACAGGCTGCGATCACGTTCCGGCCTTAATGAGGAGGAGCCAAGATCAGTGCTCTGCAGTCCAAACGCAAAAGCACTCTGCACCACGTGTGCTGAGGCTCTAGAACTTTAGTTGGAGGACTCTCACCATGTAGAGATTCGCAGTCCAGGCAAGGAAGTGAGCTGTGGCTGGCCTGAAGCTGGACTCGAGCACCCAGTCCGATGCCGCCCACCCATCCCTGCGAAGGGTGTGGCACTTTTAGTTTAGGACACAGGCGTGCTGTTGTCCAGCCAGGCTTGCCTAGTGTCCATCTTACCAAAGGCAGAATGGAGGTTCAGCCCAAGGAAGTGACCTGCCTCAGGTCCCAGACTCGGAAGCGGGACCCAGGTGACCACGCACGCAAAACCACCTGATGAAAAGAACCAAGGAAGAACCAACCTGGGTCACGTGTCTGAAGCAGAACAGGTTTGGAGTGTGGATGCTGGAGCCCCTCGCTGACGTCAGGCGGCCCCTCTGCCAGGAGGAGCTGGCCAGCGGAGCGCAGGGGTGTGGGAGGGCCTGCCTTGATCCCACCCCTGCCTCCTCCTGATCCCAGCTTCCTCAGCAGCAAGACCTGGACTGTGAGACTGCCCACTGTCCTGAGGGCGAGGTGAGCTAGCGCTGTTCAATGCCCGGCCCGGGGCGGCAGGGAGCCGGCAGCCATCAGCACTGCTCTCGCTGTATTACTGTTCCTAGATCAATGCTGGGCTCTTCATGGGTGAGCTGCCAGGGAGCAAACCCAAGGCCCCGCGCGTGCCAGGCTGGCGCCCTACACGTGGTGCCCAACCCCCGACTCTGAGCTTTACGTGTACCTTTAAGCAGGTGGCTTTCCTTCTCTGGCCTCAGTTTCCCCATCAGTGATTACAGAGTGCTTGGTAAGGTTCTCGGCTTTTCTTTTGCTGCACACCTGTTCTGACTGCCACATTATCACCCCTGGAGCCCAGAACAGGATTTGCCTCTCTGAATCCTCAATCTTGGCAAAGCAGAGGTGCTTTCTGAATGCTTGCTGCATTCAGGGGTCCTTGGCAGCTC